AAGAAAGCAAAAAAAGAACTAAGCAGAAGTATCCTCAGTCAGTTTTTTGCAGTAATTCTCTGCAATGGCCACCACTAGATGAAGGATCGCCGGCGCAATCCCGCTTCCATAAGCATCTCCTACGCATCTCCTACGCATCTCCGTCGGCATTTTCTGGCCAGAGACAGTCTTGCCCGTCTGGACCGGGCTAATATCATGACGTGACCGCTAAAAAGGCGCATTAAACCGCCTCGTTCCTGCTGTAAGAGGCCAGAACTAAAACAGTCGTTTCATCCTATAGTTTGCTGGAGATAAGGGATCCGGAATTTGGTGGCTCCGAAGTGTTAGGGCTTATAGGATTTAGGATCGTCATGATAGGTTACAGAAGATTCTACTCCTCCTTTTTGCTGCCCACCTTTCCGCCGGACCGCAGTCCCACGAAACTGACAAAACAGACTACGATCATGGCTGCGAACATGAGCCAATAGGCCGCTTCGTAGCCTTTCAACAAACTGCCATCCGAGTGTGCCGTAACAGATCCAGCGATAACAGCGCTAACGGCTAGTCCGACGGAGTTACCAATCTGTGAGACGGCATTAAACACGGCCCCAGCCAGCCCTTGATTCTCTCCCGGATAAGCTTGCGATATTATAAGGTTTGAGACGGTAAAAAGAACTATTTCCAGATTAGTGAATCAGAGTGGGTTGCTTCATTCAGCCGTCATGTTCATTTTGAACTTACCATCTGGATGAAGTGGGCTCAGAAGCATCCCCACGAACGGCCCCCGCCAATATCCCCAGCTCGGTTTGACCAATGCCATCAACAGAGCAGAGATAGTGCTGATGCAGGCAGATACAAAGACTAATGTTCGTACCTCAACTTTATCCACCACGTAGCCCGTGACAATATTTGTGAGCGCCCCGACGATCACCAAGGGTAGAAACATCACGGCCGAGATGAGAGCAGAATGATGCTGGATGTTTTGGAAACTGCCCATACTCGTCAACTACTTGCCATGTTCTCCATAAAGAACAGAGTGTAAACTTACTAGAGTGACGAGAAGTATTGAAAGGCATTGAAAACAGCCCAGGTAAAGAAAACGATGATGCATGTGGAGGTAAACGTGGTGTTACGCCATATACTGTTGGGAATGAGGGCGGGCTGACCCTTTCGTTGTCGCCAATTCATCCAGGCGATGAATGCAGGAATGAGCACCAGTGAAACAACAAGGAGGGCAATGACGTATCCTGTGCGAATGTTTCGATAACTTCCGGAGAGTTCGCTGCAGGACACATCGCGTTAGCAAGATAGAGTCGAACGCGGGAGATTGAGGGAACACCTACGCCATCACGAAACACAGCAATGCCAGCGAGACACTAATGATGACTGCCCCAATCCAATCAATTCTTGCCATGCGCCTATACCACGGCTCTCCGTGGGGTTTGTTAACAGCGGGCAGCGCCCAGAAAGCCGTGGCCGATAGGACAGCATTGATGATAGCACTGATATAATATCCATAGCGCCATCCGATCGTGTCAGCGAACACACCACCAAGGATGAGCCCCAATGAATAGCCTAAAGGCTGCCCCATTCCCATTGATGCAAATCCAATGTTTCGCCTTTTTCCCGAGGGGCAACTGCGCGTCATTAGGCTAACTGCAGAGGGCAAGCACATTGCGATGCAAAGACCCAAAAGAGTCCGAAACGCGATGAGCTGGTTCCCCGTTTGTGCAAAGCCGCAGGCCAGCGTGAATATCGCATACAGAATACTCCCAGTTATCCATATCATTTTGTCACCCACTGCATCCGCAATGGAGCCGAAGAGCAGCAGAGTGCAACCTGCTGCGAGCGCGTAGACCGATGCGGGCCATAGTAGGATATCTTCGTCTAGATGGAGGTCGATCGCCATCTGTGGGAGGGCCACGGTTAGGATTCCGGATCCCATAGTATTGAGGAAGCTGACGCCCGTGAGGCTGACGATGGTCATATTCGCGCGAGTAGTACTGAAGGGCTTGGATGAAGGGGCCGTTTGTGCGAGTACTGCTTCATCGTTGGGTGTGCTTTCGGATGATGTAGTATGGACATCATCTGGCTCGTATGTGTTTTTTTCTCCTTCTGGCTGCATTGTGTGCTCCCCCCAGATGTATGCGTCTTGAAGTTGTATGGGAATTGACAGATAGAGCAGCTGTCATCCAGCGACAGCCACCAGAGAACACAGTCCAAAAAATGTTCACAGCTGTTTTAATGAGAATAATGATGGACTAGGCTATTCGGAGCTTAGTCTCAATTTGAGAGAGTCACTATTGCAGTGATATTCAGCTATTAATTAACAAGTAAGCATAACAAATTGGGCTCTACATCCATGCTGACATATTGTCCTTTTGATTCTTTTGTAATCAGGTCGGGTTCGTTTCCGCTTTGGATGAGTGTACATTGATCCTTCCACAGACGAAGGATCCACCAGCTGGCGTTTCTGCTAGGGGTTGCTATAATATGCAGTAGTATAACAAGGCTGACTTTTAGGGTTATCGCTGATAAGCAACTCTGGACTCCACCGCGGGACTCTTTCCGTGGTCTGATAACACTATTACTAGTATTGTCTCTGCCCAAGATTTTATTTAGTTAGCTAATCAATCTATCAGCGCGTATGACAAATTGAACCAACGGAGCGCGGAACAGAACTACAGAGGCTTGATAAACATATATTTGTCCAGCACCTCCGCCGGAGAAGCTCTCTATTTACTCGAATTCTTCTCGCTCGTCTGTTCCTTACACTACAGTCATTGATGTTCCAGCGTGCTGACGTGGCCATTCCAGAAATGTGAGAGAGCATTCGCCTTAACAGCGACTGCCTTAACTAGCACCTACTTACTCCCGGGACAATGCATATGATCACCCGTGCATATATATTTTAGAAAGAGAAACCATACATGGAAGGAACTCAGTCCTCCGTGTTCTTCCTCTTTGACCACTCAATTCTTCGTGTTGCATCCACTCATCAAGGAGGATCACAGGGAGAAACCATAATTCCAGTAACAGCGAGCAAATGAGCGACAAACTCCATTCGTTGTAGGAGCAGACCATCATCCAATTATTGATATGTAAAAGGCTTAGGTTTTTAATAGGGTAAACTTCATAGATAGTCCACCTTAGTTGCATGATAGAAACATGTCCTTACTGTAGGTGCACGGAAGCATGAGCGATGCATGGGTGGAATAGTAGCATGAAGCGTCTCGGCAAGACTATGGGGAAGTCCCGCGCGAACAAGATTATACATGTGATGTATCCGATAATGACCGTCTTGGGAATTTCCATTACTTTCTTGAATCCACTAAAGGCAAGATCAGCTTTTGCTTTCCACTCTAATCACTTCTGGCGTGAGATGGCTCCCACACCGCTCCATTACCCCAATCCATATGCTTTCTCTTCGCCTAGTGTGTTGTTCTGCTCATGCACCACACTCATGTGGCATATGAACACCTCTTTAATTATATAACTTCCTTGCTATGCGATCGCCTATTTCAGGTTTCTCACTATGAAGCTCCCTTGCTATGAAATATATTTACTTTGCTATTCTTGGCCTCTTGGAGCTCCAGCTTACGGGTTTTATGTTTTCAGTAGGATTCACGGTAGACCTAAATGTTCAAACACTGGCCCAGAGCTATCCAAACCCATTCCCTTTCAAGAGCTCCGACATATATCTTCTAACAGCCTTCCTCAACCTGAACCATCTATCTAATTGGTTAATATACTCACTGATCCATGAAGCGAAAAAAGCAAGCAGACCAGTCTTGTATCTAGCCATCAAATCTGACGACGAGACTAGTCTATGAAGATGCCACCTGTACCTCGGAGGGTTTTGCCTCTATTCGCAGACGAAACCGCCTTTACGGGATTGTGTGCATGGCCAGTCATTCTTTTATGGTCTAGTTAACTCACCATATTGTGTCAATAAGGCTGCACCAGAGCGTGCGACATTATAGCAAATCATACCCGATTTCTGATGCGGAAGCTTGAAACATGCCAGCCACAAGGGGGGAGGGGGGAAGAGTCGAACAGATGCTTTTGAAGATTCCAGTGCCCTAAGGATAAAAACCTTCTCAACGGTCCCTCTTCGCTATATGCTAACTTCTACCCCCTGCGCGAGTTGCTAACACCTGCCCTTAATGTAGTGGATCGAAACCCCAAGATAATCAGACAATAACCTTTTTGAGCAGCACAATGCCTGAATATCCAGGTTCAAACTTTCGGTCGCATGATTATCTCAGCTCACTACCTGGTCTCGAAAAGAATGTATTTGCGCTAATCTGACTCCTTATCCAGGGAGTACTGCATGTCTGATTGCTTCATGTTACAGCTTAAGACTATGTATGTGCCACCTACCCGCGTTTCGCAGTCCACGATGATCGGATATTCTCTTCCGTCCTCATCAGCTGCTTCTGCATCTACAAAGGGACTTGCTACTTGCTAAACATAGGGTTCGATATATTAGTCCTATATCGCCTTGTTGTCGACAATAATATCAGCTCGTTTCCATTCTCGCATTCTATGCCTCTTACTCGGTTCAACACTGACAAACATCGAAAAAAACTACCCGTGTTACTACAGACTAGTATATACTTAATCCTTAGTACGAGGGCTCTTACAAGGTGTACTGATGATGTATGAGGTTGGAGTGCCAGAGCGCTCTGGATTACCCCATTCGGTAAAACCGATTTACTGGGTCATGTGACAGAGCAAGCCTTGAACAACACAACGGAGACTACACTGGCATAACAACCTGAGAGTTCAGACAGCCAGAGAATTGAACTACACCTGTTAGTCACAAATGTAGCCATTGAGGTTCAATTAATAGTGCTGCTCGAGCGTTGGATTTGAGCAATGAGCACTGCCATCCAATGGTGGTGGTTCCAGTAAGGTGTTTCTTGCCAAGCCCGTGCAACCACCCGCACAGCCATAAATATGATGCAAGTGTCTAGGCTGCACAATATACTTTCATCCTCCATTCCTTGCTTGACTCTCACCACGATGTTGGGTGACAGGTAGGTGTGACAGAGGAGATCCATTGTCAATAATTCTCTTCACGGCTGGCTAGACTGACAACACTGTCCAACATGTACACGAGGCATTTTGAGGTGGCAGACGGGGCGACGTTGACGGCAGTAATTTGACCACACACCTGCCCAACGAAAACTAACAAATATCCTCTCAATGACGATCCATAAGACAACAATAGAACAAGAGTTAGCGGAAAGAAAAACGGCCGAGTCAGTGTGTACCTGGCAGAGCTCATGGGTGGACGCCCCGCAGAGAAGATAAAACAGGCGAGTTAGAGAAAAGAGAAGAAGAGAGAGGGCTGGGCTTTTTACCAGCCACCGGTTTAGATTGACATCTCCCCTCCGATCGATCGAATCCCCATCCCCATCGTATATTAGCATTACGCCTTTCGTTGGGCATTGTCCTCTGCCCCGTGCTCCCCTTTTTTTTTTTTTTTATCTTTCTTCTCCTCTTCGTCCTCTCCCCTCCCTCTACCTACATTCCTCACATTCCCTTTCTTCCATTCTTTCACCTCCCTATTGTTTCGTCGGCCCCTTTGCTTAGCGGGTATCCCGATTGTTTACTCCACCGGCAGATCTGTAGTTATACTGCATAGTACTTATATTATCTCCGACTTATATACCCCGAAACGTGAGGAAAAATACCAGTACCAAGGCAGGACTACTTCTAGGCTTCCGCCACCTGCAGTGCATACTTTGCCAACACTGCCTTCAACTGCAATGCTTTACTACTAATCGAGGCGTCACTCCGGTTTCTGATCAATTTGAATCAATTACAATCATATACTTCTATCGCCACTACTTCACGGGGTAATTGTTTCAAGTGGACCAGTTGAATGCGCCACAGTGACTACGTATCAACCGGACCAACGAAGGACTAACACCGATCCAAAACACGCCTTCAATTCATTCGCCGGCCAGAGCCTCCTTGAACAAGCGGAGCTGCTAGTAACACATTTGCTGCGTTTGCTGCGAGTTACACCGCAAACATGGCAACAGATCGCTTCCCCGCCCCTCCCACGGAAGCTCCCACGTATCTGCAGCAGGCGCCCACCAATGGTATTTATACAGCCCCGTCGCACAAAAGACAGCCGTCCCATGTCGTGAAGTCCGCTGCGCCGGATTACTACGAGGATAACGACTTTTACGCCAACCCCAACAATTCAAGGCCACCGCCACCCTACCCAGCCAATTCTAGCAGGGTTCAAAGCCACCATAGGTCGCGTTCACATTCTACCAGAAGCAAAAGCTACAGGAGAGACGTGTATCCGGAAGACAACATGGAAGAAGGAGAAAATCTCCCAACGCCGGACCGTCCAGTATGGTCTGAGAAGCGCTCGAAAACATCGGCCACGAGAGCTGACAAGCACGGCGCTGAGGCACACAAGGCCTCTTTATCCTCGAATAGTCAGCCATCCCCAGTAAGTCGGTCGAGCACGGTCCGCTCTGCAACCGAACAGCGACGGAACTGGGCATCCGATCGCTCGCCGCTCCAAAAGCTCGAGACCACTTATACGGGTGCGAGCAAGGAGGAGAAGCGGGCACGCGCTCTAGAGGCTGAAATGAAACTGAGGGAACGGATGAAACGGCAGACTGAAAGTCGCGCGACAGCAATGGCGCAGCCTTCTGACTCACTAGAGAGCGTGGATAAGAGAGCAGTCCCTGGACGAATGGCCGAGCCAAGACCAGCACAGGGAGCAAAGCGATCACATCATCGGCATGCGGCTTCTGAAGGACACACTGGATACAGCCCCGAAGGGCCAGACTCTTCCGAAAGAGCCAGGCCGCCTCGCAGCCGAATGCCACCTTCACAAGACGCCGCAGAGCGCGCTTTTGACGAGATTCAGGACTCCAATGGGGGTCGGCCAGACGGGCCGATGGCACGAACCGGCAACGCTCCCAGGCGAACAGTATCTGTGAGCCACCCTCCGCAAGGACCACCGATGGGCCCGCGAGCAATGAATCAGGGCAAACAACGAGATGCACAACCGTATCCACCTATTTCTGCTGCTCCCGACTCGGCGTTTCCTGATCAATCTAGATTGGCAGTCCCGGCGAGGAAGGCCGTTCCAATTCAGCCCAGCACCCGTGCGCCACCAGTTGCCAACCCGGCGGCTTATCAAACTAAGTCGCCCCCACAACTTATCCCGGAGAGGGGGCCTTCTATGCAAGGGCCGACTACCCAGCAGGGAGTGTTGAAGAATCCTACTGGAGCAGCACCTGCCAAGGCTAGCGTAGACAGTGGACTGGATGTAAACAACCCAATAATGCCTTCTGCTCCAGCGGAGACAAATGTGCCGTCTAAGCCCAAGGTCTCGTTTAACGTGCCCCCGCCAACACCTCCTCCTCTCTCTGAATGGAGGACTGCAGCTATAGCTAGGTTGGGAGCCTCTGATTTCGACTTCCAACGTTTTGATGCCGATCGGAGTAAGGCCTGGTGGGAAACTGGCGAAAGCAGCAACCGCAGACTCAGTCGGGCCCTGCCCAACAGCTTTGCCCAGAAGCCGTCTGCTCAGAAGCCAACAAGTAAGCAGCAAGAAACTAGATTATCAAATGCAAGGCTATCTGATTGCTAACCACGCATTCTATACAGGTAACAAGCGCTTTCAGCCATCAATCTTCTTACAAAGCGGACCTCTGCTCCGCTACGCCGGCTTGAAGCGGGTCCGAATTGATGGTCCCAATGGGCCATTTAACAAGGAGACCTGGAGAGGCAGTGTCCTGATCGTCACACAAGACTCACTCTCCTCCTATGAGCCGCGTCCAACGTTGAGGGTGTTTGCTCAGCCCATGGACCTTCTTGCTCCCCCGCCTGTCCAGGTAGGAGGGGAAGATTCTCAACTGGCACCCGAGTACGTTGACCCAACCGCAGGATTGATGAAATTGGGCCGGGACGGACGACCTCTGTATGTCAAGCCTGTAGAACATACTGCGGAGGGAGAAGATCTGTCATTTGTTGAAAATGACGATGGAATCTTCGAATTGTCCCCCAGTATTATGGACTACAGCAGTGAAGGTGTCAAACAGCCGGTCCCGGCCAATCGCATCCACTCCATGGACGGAGAGACTGCTGGAAGCTACAAGGAGATTACAGGCGCTCGTCTCTATGCTGATCCCGGACGGGACGTCACGTTCTGGAAATTCAACATTGAGATTGAGTTGGGCCCGACTCAGCAGCGGGTCGCGTACCGTCTGAATCATGGGCCGGCCCTAGGATTTTGGGTGCCAGCCAGGGGACAGTCAATGAACATCATGTTCCATACCGGCAATGGATTCAGCCCCGCAGTGGACTCCAACAAACTCAGCGGTCCGGACCCTCTTTGGCGAGATGTCCTCAATGAACACCAGACCCGTCCTTTCCACGTCATGATTGGTGGTGGCGATCAGATTTTCAATGACAAGGTAATTGCGGAAACCGCCCACTTCCAGGAATGGGTCAAGATCAAGAATCTGAGCGAGAAATATGAGGCGCCCTTTACTGCAGAGTTCAAGGCAGAACTGGAAGACTTCTACCTGGAGAATTATGCCTCTTGGTTTTCGCAAGGGTTGTTCTCCCTCGCCAACTCCCAGATTCCTATGGTCAATATGTGGAACGACCACGAAATCATCGAGGGATTCGGCTCCTACCCGGAGGAATTTATGAACTCGCCCGTCATCTCGGGACTAGGCAATATTGCGTTCAAGTACTACTTGCTTTTCCAGCATCACAGTGTTCCCGAAGAAACTGAGACCGAGGAGCCTAGCTGGCTGCTTGGCGCTAAGCCAGGACCGTATATCAACCAACGCAGTCGGCATCTGTTCATGTCGCTGGGTGACGGAGTAGCTTTCCTCGGTTTGGATTGTCGAACCGAGCGGATGGTAAGCATTTGATGACACGTTAGGTACTACTTTGATGCTAACAGTGGAACGCTAGACCGACGAGATTATTTCGGAAGAAACTGGAGAACTAATCTGGGATAGGTGCCATCAGGAGATAGTTCGAGGTGAAACTCGACACTTGATCGTGTCCCTGGGCATTCCCCTGGCGTATCCACGAGTGGTATGTCACTGATTCCGGTCTGATCCCCATCGCGCTATGCTAACGTCTTTCGCAGGCCATGGTCAAGAATATTCTCAACAGCCGTAAGTCGCTTGGAAAAGCAGGGCTTTTCGGCGGTTTGGTGAACAAGACCGGCGCCAAAGTCGAGATTTTCGATGATCACTGGACGTCTAAGCGGCACAAGGCTGAGCGGACATATCTGATCGAGGACCTTCAGGATCTTGCGGCAGAGAAATCCGTCCGGGTGACCATTCTAAGGTAAGTGCTAGACTGCCCCTGCAGTGCAGGATATATCTAACCAAGACTGTTTTTAGCGGCGACGTGCATCTGGCGGCGATCGGCCAGTTTTACTCCAACCCCAAGTTGGACGTACCCAAAGACCGAGATTATCGATACATGCCAAACGTCATCTCTTCAGCAATCGCTGACATGCCCGAGACGGAAATGATATCCGACATGCTCAACAAGCGCAACCGCGTGCATCATATGGACACCAACACGGACGAAGATATGGTTCCCATCTTTACCCATGATGTGAATAACAAGCCCCGGAACAACAAACGGTTGCTCCCACGCCGAAATTGGTGTTCTATTCGGGAGTACAAGCCTGGTAAGTTGACCCACATTTATTATGGCGTCTTGAGATGACTGTATGAAGCTTCGGTGTCTGACCGATTGATAGGCACCACGCCACCCGGAACGCCGCCCGATGCCCCAGCTGAAGAAGAACCCCGACCCGCCAAGCTCAAGAGAACATTGTCTCTCACTCGTGGGGAGAAGCCTCCCCGGACCGGGCTCCTGCGACGACTCTCCGTTCGGGGCCCGCCTCCCACCAAAGACTTCAACCTGGGAGAGGCACCACCTGCGCGTCGGATGAGCATGGACGGGGCTTTCCCGACCGCAGACACAGATGATGCAGGTGAACCCAAGCCCGGCCCGTTCCTGCGACGACCCACCAACCTCAGTCAGAAGTCCAAACGGGGTGATGATGGGCTCGGGGCGTTGATCAATATGGAAGGTGGCCTGGCTATCACGCTTAATCTCGAGCTAAATCCCAAGGATCCGGCGGGGATCACGACGCCATACAAGTTGCTTGTGCCAATTCTACGCTACGAAGACATGGAGTACGATCCGCCTGCGGCATCGGTGCCTAAAGGGTGGAAGAAATGGCTGGGAGTGCGACGCAAGAAGGCCGACAAAGCGCCGGTGGAAGATACCGACGTCGAGCAGGGCATAACGGATGAGGAAGATGAAGACGATGGGTTTGATGACGAAGATGATGTGCGAGCGAGGTTCGAGATTGCTCAAGGAGGCGTGTTGCCTCCAGAGACACTGGTGCCTGTGAGTCCGGATGCGGGAGAGATGGGAATGGGGGGA